CGGTCTCTGACCGCCGCCCGGGTCGTGCCGGCGGTCTCTGACCGCCGCCCGGGTCGTGCCGGCGGTCTCTGACCGCCGCCCGGGTCGTGCCGGCGGTCTCTGACCGCCGCCCGGGTCGTGCCGGCGGTCTCTGACCGCCGCCCGGGTCGTGTCGGCGGTCTCTGACCGCCGCCCGGGTCGGATCTTCAGGTTTAGCTGGGCAGGTTGTGTCCTCGGGGTATGGAGGTGCCTGCTAAGGGGAGTGTTGGAGTTCCGGGAAGGAGACGTCTCTGGGATGGGGAACATCTTGCCGTTTGCATGCCGCGAACATAACATTGGACAGCTGCCTCTCCCCAGCACATGGAGGAATGACGCACCATCTGTGTTCTTTGTATGGATTCTTTTTTTTACCGACATGTGAAAGTTATCAGCTAAATATTTTCAGCGTGTGCGGGAGGAACCTTATCTGTACAATACGCTGCGTCGTACAATACGGAACTCCCCGCCCATTGGTACCTTCGTTCGGCAGATCCCCCGCTCGTTGGTGCCCTCGTTCAGCAGATCCCCCGCTCGTTGGTGCCCTCGTTCAGCAGATCCCCCGCTCGTTGGTACCCTCGTTCGGCAGATCCCCCGCTCGTTGGTGCGTTCGGCAGATCCCCCGCTTGTTGGTACCCGCGTTCGGCAGATCCACCGCTTGTTGGTACCCTCGTTCGGCAGATCCCCCGCTCGTTGGTGCCCTCGTTCGGCAGATCCCCCGCTCGTTGGTGCCCTCGTTCGGCAGATCCCCCGCTCGTTGGTGCCCTCGTTCGGCAGATCCCCCGCTCGTTGGTGCCCTCGTTCGGCAGATCCCCCGCTCGTTGGTGCCCTCGTTCGGCAGATCCCCCGCTCGTTGGTGCCCTCGTTCGGCAGATCCCCCCCGCTCGTTGGTGCCCTCGTTCGGCAGATCCCCCGCTCGTTGGTGCCCTCGTTCGGCAGATCCCCCGCTCGTTGGTGCCCTCGTTCGGCAGATCCCCCGCTCGTTGGTGCCCTCGTTCGGCAGATCCCCCGCTCGTTGGTGCCCTCGTTCGGCAGATCCCCCGCTGGTGCCCTCGTTCGGCAGATCCCCCGCTCGTTGGTGCCCTCGTTCGGCAGATCCCCCGCTCGTTGGTGCCCTCGTTCGGCAGATCCCCCGCTCGTTGGTGCCCTCGTTCGGCAGATCCCCCGCTCGTTGGTGCCCTCGTTCGGCAGATCCCCCGCTCGTTGGTGCCCTCGTTCGGCAGATCCCCCGCTCGTTGGTGCCCTCGTTCGGCAGATCCCCCGCTCGTTGGTGCCCTCGTTCGGCAGATCCCCCGCTCGTTGGTGCCCTCGTTCGGCAGATCCCCCGCTCGTTGGTGCCCTCGTTCGGCAGATCCCCCGCTCGTTGGTGCCCTCGTTCGGCAGATCCCCCCCTCGTTGGTGCCCTCGTTCGGCAGATCCCCCCTCGTTGGTGCCCTCGTTGGTGCCCCCCGCTCGTTGGTGCCCTCGTTCGGCAGATCCCCCCCTCGTTGGTGCCCTCGTTCGGCAGATCCCCCGCTCGTTGGTGCCCTCGTTCGGCAGATCCCCCGCTCGTTGGTGCCCTCGTTCGGCAGATCCCCCCCTCGTTGGTGCCCTCGTTCGGCAGATCCCCCGCTCGTTGGTGCCCTCGTTCGGCAGATCCCCCCCTCGTTGGTGCCCTCGTTCGGCAGATCCCCCCTCGTTGGTGCCCTCGTTCGGCAGATCCCCCGCTCGTTGGTGCCCTCGTTCGGCAGATCCCCCGCTCGTTGGTGCCCTCGTTCGGCAGATCCCCCGCTCGTTGGTGCCCTCGTTCGGCAGATCCCCCGCTCGTTGGTGCCCTCGTTCGGCAGATCCCCCGCTCGTTGGTGCCCTCGTTCGGCAGATCCCCCGCTCGTTGGTGCCCTCGTTCGGCAGATCCCTCTCGTTCGGCAGATCCCCCGCTCGTTGGTGCCCTCGTTCGGCAGATCCCCCGCTCGTTGGTGCCCTCGTTCGGCAGATCCCCCGCTCGTTGGTGCCCTCGTTCGGCAGATCCCCCGCTCGTTGGTGCCCTCGTTCGGCAGATCCCCCCCCCGCTCGTTGGTGCCCTCGTTCGGCAGATCCCCCGCTCGTTGGTGCCCTCGTTCGGCAGATCCCCCGCTCGTTGGTGCCCTCGTTCGGCAGATCCCCCGCTCGTTGGTGCCCTCGTTCGGCAGATCCCCCGCTCCCCTCGTTCGGCAGATCCCCGCTCGTTGGTGCCCTCGTTCGGCAGATCCCCCGCTCGTTGGTGCCCTCGTTCGGCAGATCCCCCGCTCGTTGGTGCCCTCGTTCGGCAGATCCCCCGCTCGTTCGGTGCCCCCTCGTTCGGCAGATCCCCCGCTCGTTGGTGCCCTCGTTCGGCAGATCCCCCGCACGTATGTACCCTCGTTCGGCAGATCCCCCGCACGTATGTACCCTCGTTCGGCAGATCCCCCGCACGTATGTACCCTCGTTCGGCAGATCCCCCGCACGTATGTACCCTCGTTCAGCAGATCCCCCGCTCGTTGGTACCCCCGTTCAGCAGATCCCCCGTTCGGTAGTAACCCCCAGCTCTGCTGATCCAGATCTGGCTTGCTGATCCTCCTCTCTCCAATGCTGCTCCCCTCGTGTGACATTGCTAGTTTCTCCCACTCCGGTCCCAATCTGACAATCAATATCTGCTGTGTATTGTGGTGCCGGTTTGCCCCCTTGCCCTGCAGATGACGAGATTGGTCGTGTGCTTTTACTTCTTCTTTTTTTTTTTTGTAGTTCCCATTCTGCAGTATATGTAACATTTCATATGCAGGAAGAGGTGTCCTGGATACCTGGGACTGAGCAGGCCCCTCCCCCATACGAGGAGCCTGTCCCTGGGAAGTGATGGATTATGGGACAAGTATTGGGATTGTCCAGGTTGAGGATCGGCGGCATAATGGAGTATTTGTGTCTCAGCGCTGTCCAGTTTTTCCGTCTATGATGACATCACACCTGTCCGCATGGAGTGCGGCTGAATTTACGACTCAACTCTGCCAAGAAGGAGGGGGGGGGGGGGGTGGAGCCGGCCTCCGGAGACATTGGGCTATAATGGGATTACCACCTAACCCCTCGCTCTGGTTTTATCATTCTTCCCTCTGTGTAATCTGCGCTGACTCCCCCCATCCTCCACCCTTCCCCCTCCCTATCCTCCGCCCTTCCCCCTCCCCCTCCCCCTCCTGGGGGCAATTATTACTTTTCCTTTACTTACAGCAAACACTTGTGTTCTTTTTTTTTTTTTTTTTTTTTCTTTTTTTCTTTTTATATTACAATTTGATAGAACTTTTTTGTTTCTGTATTCCTTGCATTTCATATACTTTTTTTTTTTTTTTTTTTTTTGCAATGTCCTATTGGCAGGGTTAGCATCCTTGCTGAATGTCTGGCGGTCGGTGTCGGTTCACTAGGCCTTTTGATGTTCCTCACTGCTTGGCCCTATAACATACATGACAATTGATTGAGGGTTCTGTAGTGGGGGATGTCCAGGGGCGGACTGACCATTTGGAAACTCGGGCACTGCCTGAGGGCCCGGGGTCAGTAGGGGGCCCCATGAGATGCCCCTGCTACCTTTTTCATAGGCTTTTTTGAGTTTGGGCAAGAACACAGGGGCCCCATGATACCCTATTGCCTGGGGGCCCCATGAGTTGTCAGTCCGCCCTTGGGGTGTCTTAATCACTTCTCATCCCGCCCATGTATGTAAACGGCCGGACGGTGGCAGTGCAGGGCGGGTTGCCGTTCATATACGGCGCCCGTCATTTTAGCCTGGGAGCGCATGGCGCCACGGTCTGGTGCCCGCTGTGTCTGGAACACCTGTGAGGTCCCGATCATGTGAACACTGATTGGCCAATGAGTGATCAATAGTAGTAAGCAAAATGTCACTTCTGACATCATTGCTTACTACGTGTGAAATCTGTGAATGATCACAGAGATCACATGGTACAGGGCCATTCACATGAGCCTTGTACCATGTGACAAGATGTGACCAATCACAGCTCGCCTGTTCGAGCTGTGATTGGTCACATCTTGTCACATGGTACAAGGTATTACTCAATGGCTGCAGGAATGCAGCCAGAGAGAAGGAGAAATGATTGTACAGACTTTTATGGGTGTAAAAGCAATCGGTGTAAAAAAAAAAAAAAAATCATCGCCCCCCACAAGTAGTACAGTGTCACTATGGTGACAGCATGTTAAAAAGAAAACAAAAAAAACCCCAAAAACAAATAAAATAAAAATGTAAAAAAAAAATTATAATTTTTGGTTATAAACTAATTTGGGTTATTTATTTTTTTTCTTTTACTAAAAAGATAACTGGATACATTTTGGCCGAGATTTATGAAGAAAATGTATTTATTTGCAAAATTTTATAAGAAAAAACACTTTTTTAAAAACATTTAAAACTTTTTCATTTATATAGCAAAAAAATAAAAATCCCAGCGGTGAATAAATACCACCAAAATAAAGTTTTATCTGTCTCAAAAAATGGTTCGGACTCAAAGCGGTTAAATTAACGATCTCCTGGGAGGAGTTATGCAAATATCAAGGCCTAAACGGGTGGGTCTCAGTCTGAAGCAGTGGATGTTTCTAGACAGGCTTTCTGCATTTACATACGGACCGCCCATATGTCTCCTAGATTGTAAGCTCCCAGGATCAGGGCCCTCCTCTTGTATTGATCTGTATTGTTGCTGTATTGTCTCCCGTTATGTTAAGTGCTGAGCAAACTGTTGGCGCCATAAATCCTGTATAATAATATGTGATGCTAAGACTCCATAATTGAAAGGGGGGCGGTGCCAGAGACAGGCTGGGGAGGAAAGAGCTAGATGATGCTGGACGTCCTCCAGCCAGAAAATGAGGCGGAGCTCTATCTGACTTGCTGCAGCTCTAATGCACATTGTGAGGAGTTCCCAGTGTGCAGTGACATCAGAGGAAGTCATTTCAGTCTAGGGGAGGAGCTGGTACACCCTGTGCCCGACTGGAGGGGAGGAGCCTCTATACCTGTGCCAGACTGAAGGGGAGGAGCCAGTACACCTGTGCCAGACTGAAGGGCAGGAGCCGGTACACCTGTGCCAGACTGAAGGGGAGGAGCCTCTATACCTGTGCCAGACTGAAGGGGAGGAGCCTCTATACCTGTGCCAGACTGAAGGGGAGGAGGAGTGCCTCTGAAGGGGAGGAGCCTCTATACCTGTGCCAGACTGAAGGGGAGGAGCCTCTATACCTGTGCCAGACTGAAGGGGAGGAGCCGGTACAACCTGTGCCAGACTGAAGGGGAGGAGCCGGTACACCTGCATGGGACTGGAGGGCAGGAGCCTCTATACCTGTGCCAGACTGAAGGGCAGGAGCCTCTATACCTGTGCCAGACTGAAGGGGAGGAGCCTCTATACCTGTGCCAGACTGAAGGGGAGGAGCCTCTATACCTGTGCCAGACTGAAGGGGAGGATACCGAAGGGGACATACCTGTGCCAGACTGAAGGGGAGGAGCCGGTACACCTGTGCCAGACTGAAGGGGAGAAGCCGGTACGCCTGCGCGGGACTGAAGGGGAGGTCGGAGAGGGCAGATGGAAATTGCTGTCCTTTACAGATATGGGGGAGGGGGTCAGATATTAGGGGGTCATTCCCATCCTGTGACCTCCATGTTTTATTTCAGGGTGGGGGTTCCTCTCCTAGAATTGGGGGTGGACCGTGTTTCTCAGCTGTGCAGGACTGAGGACCTTTCCCAGCATGCCCCTCACCAGCATAGAATTCCTCTGAACTCTCCTAGAACATTGCTGGTCTTCTGTGTAGATGATGGAGGGGAAGCACAGACAGTTCTCAGTGCAGACGCTGTGATAAATGGGGGGACAGCGCGTGGAGAAGTGTCTCTAGCATGGCCCCGCTTCCTCCTCCATGATCTCTAGACTTCACATTCCGGGAATGTCTCCCCTCTCGCCTTTCACTCCTGACCAATGACAGGAGGACTCAACCTGAGAACCTGCCTGCCTGTAGCACCCTTTGCATCAGCGCATTCCATGTGCGGACCGGCCAGGATTCCTGACTGCTGCTATACTCCTCTGTGCAGCACTCGGGTGTCACTTGTGAAGAGTCCCTGTCCCTAGGGCAGGCCATAGACTGTGTGACTTTCTTTGCTGCAAGCCCCACCGGGAGGGGAAGCCGTCCCCGCCGCTGAAGCTGCGATTATTGCTAGCGACTATAGCAGCTGCTAGCGACAATCGTATGTACAGTCTGGCAGGCTGATTGTACCAAAGTTAACCGATCAGCTTGGGTACATTCAGCCTGCCCATACATGGTTCGTTTCCTGCTAAACCAGCCAATATTCGAAGTCTGTGGCCGGCTAACTCAACCCACAACAGGAAAATCGGTCTATAGATGCAGCAAAGCATGCTTGTTATACTCACTGTGGGACCTAAGGGGCTAATCCTCCGCATTGTGTAAAAAGGCTGTTGTCTCTGATCCTTCCCTTCTTCCAGTGTCCTCCCCTCTTATTTCCATATCGTGTGGAGTCACTGCACATGCTCAGTTTGGTGTGTATTGCTAGAGAGGTTTTCTTTTTTTCTTGGGAGAGTGCATTTTTTTCTTGGGGGGAGTCTGCCTGTCCATAGGGATGATGAATGGACCTTCCATTCGGGTCTGCCTGAAAAACTAGCAGGTGGACCTGATCGCCCGTCTGAAAGGGGCCTTCATTTTATTTTTTTTTATTTTATTTTTTTTTTAATTTTTTTATTTCATTTATTTTTTTTTTTGGCATGCTCTTTTAACAAAAGAACCTACCCGCTGGCAAATTTTAGGTTTTAAGGTTCACTTCTGCTTTAACATCAGCCAAATACATTTCAGGTACGTCAAAACAAAAGGTGTAGAAAGGTGTTGTGAAAGCAGCCACAGCCTGAGTAGAAAAGCCTGTCCCCTGCCAGCATGCTGCAGAGAAGGACCCCTTGCTCTGTATAGGGAAGCAGCGGTCTCTTTGCAGAGGTCTGACATGCCCCCGTGCTGAGTTAGAGCTCTCCAATCTGCTTTGCTGGTTGGACAGCCACAGCCTGAGTAGAAAAGCCTGTCCCCGGCCAGCATGCTGCAGAGAAGGACCCCTTGTTCTTCGTGTGGAAGCAGAGGGCTCTCTACAGCGCTGACAACCCCTACTGAGTCGGCACTAGAGCTTTCCAATCGGCAAATCTCTTGCTTCTCACTGGAGGGCTCTTGCGGTGCGTTGTGCAGTTGATGGCCGCCTTCACCTTTCCCCCCCCCCCCCCCAGTAATTTTTACCGCCCCACCCCACCCGCTCCCGCAGGTTCCCCATTGTTTTACTGGAACAGGGTTTCTGGATGTTGAAGGTCATGTGACAGTGCACAGGCCAATCGCTGTCCTAGCCATGACACCACCCGTCCTCTGACACCAGAGCTTTCTCTGGGAACTCCCACATGGAGGCGGTGAGGGACACGGCGGGACCTTGCTGGGGCAGCGGCTCTGAATGGGAAAAGTGACCGTGTTTACTGGAACCAAGAATGATTGAGCAACATAAAGATTCCCCGTGGAACATGCAGTGATCACAGAGCGCAGGTTCCCCAAAATGTAACCAGTCACTCGACATTCGTTCCTGTGAAATGTTCCGGAATGCAGTGAGGAAGTTGTTGGTCTTGTAGAGATCAGGGTGACCATGTGGGTGACGGAGACATGAAGTGTTCATAGACGGGTCAGTGACACCGATGATAGATGTGCGCCTTCAAGTATCGTCCGCACGTGTTACATTGTACATAGATGAAGGAGCCGTGTCCTCACGTGTACATTGTACATAGATGAAGGAGCCCGTGTCTGCTCACTTGTTACATTGTACATAGATGAAGGAGCCGTGTCCTCACTTGTTACATTGTACATAGATGAAGGAACCCGTGTCTGCACTTGTTACATTGTACATAGATGAAGGAGCCGTGTCCTCACTTGTGGTACATTGTACATAGATGGAGGAGCCCGTGTCCTCACTTGTTACATTGTACATAGATGGAGGAGCCGTGTCCTCACTTGTTACATTGTACATAGATGAAGGAGCCCGTGTCCTCACTTGTTACATTGTACATAGATGGAGGAGCCGTGTCCTCACTTGTTACATTGTACATAGATGGAGGAGCCGTGTCCTCACTTGTTACATTGTACATAGATGGAGGAGCCCGTGTCCTCACTTGTTACATTGTACATAGATGAAGGAGCCGTGTCCTCACTTGTTACATTGTACATAGATGAAGGAGCCCGTGTCCTCACTTGTTACATTGTACATAGATGAAGGAACCCGTGTCTGCACTTGTTACATTGTACATAGATGAAGGAGCCCGTGTCCTCACTTGTTACATTGTACATAGATGGAGGAGCCGTGTCCTCACTTGTTACATTGTACATAGATGAAGGAGCCCGTGTCCTCACTTGTTACATTGTACATAGATGAAGGAGCCCGTGTCTGCACTTGTTACATTGTACATAGATGAAGGAGCCCGTGTCTGCACTTGTTACATTGTACATAGATGAAGGAGCCCGTGTCTGCACTTGTTACATTGTACATAGATGAAGGAGCCCGCCGTGTCCTCACTTGTTACATTGTACATAGATGAAGGAGCCCGTGTCCTCAATTGTTACATTGTACATAGATGAAGGAACCCGTGTCCTCACTTGTTACATTGTACATAGATGAAGGAGCCCGTGTCCTCACTGTTACATTGTACATAGATGAAGGAACCCGTGTCCTCACTTGTTACATTGTACATAGATGAAGGAGCCCGTGTCTGCACTTGTTACATTGTACATAGATGAAGGAGCCCGTGTCTGCACTTGTTACATTGTACATAGATGAAGGAGCCCGTGTCCTCACTTGTTACATTGTACATAGATGAAGGAACCCGTGTCCTCACTTGTTTACATTGTACATAGATGAAGGAGCCCGTGTCTGCACTTGTTACATTGTACATAGATGAAGGAGCCCGTGTCTGCACTTGTTACATTGTACATAGATGAAGGAGCCCGTGTCCTCACTTGTTACATTGTACATAGATGAAGGAACCCGTGTCCTCACTTGTTACATTGTACATAGATGAAGGAGCCCGTGTCCTCACTTGTTACATTGTACATAGATGAAGGAGCCCGTGTCTGCACTTGTTACATTGTACATAGATGAAGGAGCCCGTGTCCTCACTTGTTACATTGTACATAGATGAAGGAGCCCGTGTCTGCACTTGTTACATTGTACATAGATGAAGGAGCCCGTGTCCTCACTTGTTACATTGTACATAGATGAAAGGAGCCGTGTCCTCACTTGTTACATTGTACATAGATGAAGGAGCCGTGTCCTCACTTGTTACATTGTACATAGATGGAAGGAGCCGTGTCCTCACTTGTTACATTGTACATAGATGGAGGAGCCCGTGTCCTCACTTTTTACATTGTACATAGATGGAGGAAGGCCGTGTCCTCACTTGTTACATTGTACATAGATGGAGGAGCCCGTGTCTCACTTGTTACATTGTACATAGATGAAGGAGCCCGTGTCCTGCACTTGTTACATTGTACATAGATGAAGGAGCCCGTGTCTGCATTTGTTACATTGTACATAGATGAAGGAGCCGTGTCCTCACTTGTTACATTGTACATAGATGAAGGAGCCCGTGTCCTCACTTGTTACATTGTACATAGATGGAGGAGCCGTGTCCTCACTTGTTACATTGTACATAGATGGAGGAGCCCGTGTCCTCACTTGTTACATTGTACATAGATGGAGGAGCCCGTGTCCTCACGTTGTACATTGTACATAGATGAAGGAGCCGTGTCTGCACTTGTTACATTGTACATAGATGAAGGAGCCCGTGTCCTCACTTGTTACATTGTACATAGATGGAAGGAACCCGTGTCTGCACTTGTTACATTGTACATAGATGAAGGAGCCCGTGTCCTCACTTGTTACATTGTACATAGATGAAGGAGCCGTGTCCTCACTTGTTACATTGTACATAGATGAAGGAGCCCGTGTCCTCACTTGTTACATTGTACATAGATGGAGGAACCCGTGTCTGCACTTGTTACATTGTACATAGATGAAGGAGCCCGTGTCTGCACTTGTTACATTGTACATAGATGAAGGAGCCCGTGTCTGCACTTGTTACATTGTACATAGATGAAGGAGCCCGTGTCTGCACTTGTTACATTGTACATAGATGAAGGAGCCGTGTCCTCACTTGTTACATTGTACATAGATGAAGGAGCCCGTGTCCTGCACTTGTTACATTGTACATAGATGAAGGAGCCCGTGTCCCTCACTTGTTACATTGTACATAGATGAAGGAACCCGTGTCCTCACTTGTTACATTGTACATAGATGAAGGAGCCCGTGTCTGCACTAGTTTACATTGTACATAGATGAAGGAGCCGTGTCCTGCACTTGTTACATTGTACATAGATGAAGGAGCCCGTGTCCTCAATTGTTACATTGTACATAGATGAAGGAACCCGTGTCCTCACTTGTTACATTGTACATAG